GATCACCTAAAGACAGCTGAAGGGGGTGCCTGGGACAGATGTTAAAATGAAACCATTTTAGTTTCCATTTTGGCTGAGGCTGCAAGACAACAGACAGCCCATACCAGAGTGAAGCGTGCAGATCTTGCAGAAGGAGATGGTGGAAAGCCAGTTTTACACCTGTACAGGACAACCCACATCTAGCCTGCAAAGGAAATTGTAGAAGTTGAGAAATAGATTGAACAGAAGATAAACTATGGCGAGAACTGTCCAGTATGTTCCCAAGGGCTTCAGTGTGGCCATGTGAATAGCTTGCTGTCTGACCCTGGAACTTGCGAGACACAATGGATCACTGATTCCCATGAGAAATCTGAAGGTCTGGCTACGCCAATGGCAGAGCAAAGGAGAGGTGCCTGCAGGAATTTGCCTGCACCCCCACAGCTTGTTTGGGTAGAGAATATGTGAGTGTTCTCAGGGGCTGGATGCATCAGAAGAGAGACTTGATGTAAGATCTTAGATCCTTTCCACAGGACCCTCTGGAGGAACAAGGGGCCCCAGCGGAAAGAAGTTAGAGATTTACTTGAAGGTGCCACGAGGTTATGGAAGGAACTGTAAGCAGCAGCCAGAGAGAAGTTACATTTGTCCATATCAAGGGAAGTGCAAGTGAGAGATGGTAGAATCACAAAACGACCCATGGAAGAGCCCACAGGATGAAGGATCAGCTTTAAACACCTGCCAGACCCAGGGAGCACGATGCCAACTCACAGCAGGCTTAGTCAAGGGAAAATTTTCTCACTTCTTGCCTCCCCTCCTTCCCTAGCTCGGATCATGAAGGATTCGAAACCATTCGCTAGATATGAGAGGGGGCAAAAACGCAGGCTGGGCAGGGCGTGCAGAGATGCCAACCATATTCTCCTTTCCTGCTGCAGGCAACCGGCCAAAGCAGGCCTGAGCTGGGAATGGGGAGTAGTTATATCTTTGAGTAAAATTTAAAGTTTAATTATCACACTGACCTGGACATATTAATTATTGACTAGAGAAGGTTTTGTTACCTGAAAGGAGCCAGAAAAGTCACAAGATTTGTCCTAAATTTATTCATGGATAAGAAAGAAATGGTCCCAAAGGATACATTTAAAGGCGAATGGGAGACATTGATTATGTGGCTTTATGATTATGTCCCATGGGTCATTGGTTGTTCAATGAAACAATGATTCAAGAGTTTGAGAAGTGAAATCAGACAATTCTGCTGTTCCCATTGCAAGATTCACCAGAAGATATATTAGCATTAGAATATGTTTCTGAGTCAACTAAGTTTTACAGGAGAGCCAGATTCATACTGTCTGAACCAGAAGTAACATTAGATGTGAGTAACTCCAGCCCCTCATTTAGGAAACTGAGGTCCAGAGAGATGAGAAGAATTTTCCCAGCTCATACATATAAATACATAAAGAAAAACGGGGACTATATTGCATCTGCTCACAAAGGCCATATTTAATTAGGTACCCTCCTTTGTAAAGGCTGAATTTGTTACTGTTTCCCAGGGAACAGGTTTCAGGGAGATTAAAGCAAAACTGTAGACAAGGTTCTTGACAGTATCTGAAAAAAATCTATGCTAAGAATCTAAGTTGACCCTAAATAGCCATAGCAATACTGATCAGGAAGAACAAAGTTGGAGGCATCACACTACCTGATATCAAACTATACTACAAGGCTACAGTAATCAAAACAGCATGGTACTGGCATTAAAACAGACACATAGGTTAATGGTACAGAATAGAAAGCCCAGAAATAAACTCACACCTATATGGTCAATTAATCGATGACAGAGAAGGCAAACATATACAGTGGAGTAAAGACAGTTTCTACAATAAATGGAATTAGAAAAACTGGACAGATACATGCAAAAAATTGAAACTAGACAACTTTCATATACCATGTACAAAAATAAACTCAAAATGAATTAAAAACTTAAATGTAAGACCTGAAACCACAAAACTCCTAGAAGAAAACAGGCAATAAACTGACATCGCTCTTAGCAACATATTTTTAATATGTCTCCTCAGGCAAGAAAACAAAAGAAAAAATAAACAAATGGCACTACATCAAACTAAAGGTTTTTTGCACATCAAAGGAAACCATCAACAAAATGAAAAGACAACCTACTGAAAGGGAGAAAATATTCACCAATGATATATCCAATAAGATGTAAATATCCAAAACATATAAGAAACTCATATGACTTAACCACACTCCCCCACCCCCACCCCCAAAATGGGCAGAGGATCTGAATAGACGTTTCTCCAAAACGGATATACAGATAGCCAATGTACATATGAAAAGATGCTCAGCATCAGGGAAATGCAAATTAAAACCACAATGAGATATTACCTCACACCTGTCAGAATGACTATTATCAATAAATCAACAAACAAGTGCTGGTGAGGATGTGGAGAAAAGGGAACCCTAGTGCAGTGTTGGTGGGAATGCAGACTGGTGCAGTTACCACTACTGGAAAAACAGTGTGGATTTTCCTCAAAAAATTACAAGTAGAACTACCGTATGACCCAGCAATTCCACTTCCGGGTATTTGTCTGAAGACATCTAAAACACTGATTTGAAAAGATATATGCATCCCTATGTTCATAGCAACATTATTTACAGTAGCCAAGATATGGAAGCAACCAAAGTGTCCATAGACAGATAATGAATAAAGATGTGCTACATATATACAAATGGATGACTCAGCCATAAAAAAGAATGAAGTCTCACCATTTGCAACAACATGGATGGACCTAGAGGGTATTAGGCTAAGTGAAATAAGCCAGAGAAAGACAAATGCCATATGATTTCACTTATATATGGAGTCTAAAAACCAAAATAAATAAACAAACAAAACAGAAACAAACATAGACACAGAGAAAAAAAACTGATGGTTCCAGATGAGAAGAGATTTCAGAGGATGAGTGAAAAAGATGAAGGGATTAAAAAGTACAAATTGTCAGTTACAAGAATAGACACTGGGATGTAAAGTACAGCATAAGGAATATAGTCAATAACCTTGTAATAAATAACTATGTATGGTGTCAGACGGGTGGGTACTAGACTTAGCGGGGTGATCACTTCATAAAGTATATAAATATCTAATCACTATGCTGTACACCTGAAACTGATACAACATTGAATGTCCATTGTAATTGAAAATTAAATTTAAAAAACAATAAAAGTGTGTTTAAAAAGAACAATACAAAAAACAGTATAAATGTATCCTTTTCTGCTGTCTTCCCAGACTTAAAATATAGCTGCTCTTCATCGGCCTTTGGACCAAAGAGTCTTGGGTTCAATTCCAGTCAAGGGCACATACCTTGGTTTCAGTTCACTCCCTGGCCCTGGTCGGAGTCATGCAGGAGGCAGCCAATCAATGTGTCTCTTTCACATCGATACTTCTCTCTCTCTCCCTCCCTCCCTCCCACTCTATCTGAAGATAAATGGAAAATTATCCTCAGGTGAGGATTTAAAAAATTTTTTTAAAGATATAGCTGCTCATATACCTACCAATGTATCAGTTTTTTACTTTTCATAATATCTACTCAATACCACAAAAACTTTCCTAAGCTCATGTATTTGTCTTATCCCAAGACAGGGTCTCACAGGGCTTGGAACAGAAGAGGGCACAGAAATGTTTGCAGAATGACATCATGACTGGATTCCAGCTTCACTGTCTATGTGTTCTTTTTTTGTTTGTTTTATCTAATTCTTCATCGTTTTGTTTTTATTTTCTTTAATTAAATCTTTATTATTGAGAGTAATACAGATGTCCCCTTTTAACCCTCCCACCACCATTACCCTCCTCATCCTGGGTCCCACCCTGCCTCGGGCCTTCACCACCCTGTTGTCTGTGTCCAAGGGTAATGCATACATGCATGTAAGTTCCTTGGTTAACCTCTCCCCGCCCTTCCCTCTGAGATTCGTCAGTCCCTTCCATGCTTCCATGCCTCTATTTCTATTTTATTCATCAGTTTATTTGGTTCAGTAGATTTCACATTTAAGTTATATCATGTGATATTTGTCTTTCTTTGAATGGCTTATTTCGCTTAGCATAATATTCTGCAGGTCCCCCATGCTGTCTCAAAGGGTAATCGATTCTTCTTTTTTACAGCTGCATAGTATGAGTTCTTTATACATCAACAACACTACTTTTGACAAAAAAAAAAAAAAAAAAAAGCAGCATTTTTGTTCATCCTTGGGAAGCTGAAGTCATATTTAATTATTTGCAAATTCATAACTCAGGGATGCTAAGTGGAGAAGGAGCACTTCCGGTCGGCGTCTAGCCCCTTGTGCAGACACTTCCTGGCAAGTTTGCCCATGTGGCCTCGGTGCCCTTCCCATTCCCACTTTCCCATGCTGAGCTCCTCTGGGGCTGGTGATACAAAAGGTACTCCGCCCTTGGACCACTTGCCATTCTGTGTTGAGAAAGGAGCACTAACTCTCACTGGAAGACATATTTGATTTATGGTCTGGTCAAATTCCTGCAATAATAGACACTCTGGTACACCCTTTATTTATTTATTTTTTTTAATTTTACTTTTATTGGTACACCCTTTATTGACATGGGTAGGCATCTAAGGTCCCCAGTCAGGACCAATGGGATCGATTCTTAGCCCTGGTTTTTTCAGGATTTCTTAGTCCCTTAGTTTCTTAGTCTTTCAACTACTCAACAATGATGAATAAATGCCCAAGAGTGTTAATTAGAGGAGTGTAAAGAAAATCACTCATTATATGCAATGCGATCTCGTCTCAAGTATAATAACAGAGGCCTAAAAGCTATAATGGAGTGACCTTTGCCCACTGCAGCCTGGGTGGGGGCCATCTGGTATCCTTGTTCCCGGCTGGCCCCGACTACTCCAGGGCTTCCAGAGAGGCAGCCCGTGGCCTCCCGCAGGAGGCTCCGAGCACCTGCGGCTGCTCCCTCAGCAGCAGCCCCTGGGCCCCCTGCACGCAAGGGGAAGACAGAGGAAGCCTACCTGACTCCATCCTGCCTTCCTGGTTCTCCTGGGCCCCCTCACAGGCACTGGAGCCCCTGGGGAAGGGCTGGTGGCTGAAGAGGTCATCGCACAGGAGGCTTCGGCACAGCTTGGCGAGGAAGCGGAGGACGTACCCGACGCTGTTCACCACGGGCAGACTCCGCAGGTGCTGCTTCCCATCGAAGGATGCGGAGACTGGAACCCAGAGACAGCAGCTCAGGGCAGGGCACTGGAGAAAGCCACCAGCCCATCAGCCCTGGGGAAGGGGTTTCTGTTTGTTCAGTTTTGTCTTGTTTTTAAATAGCCTTTATTTGGATTTCACCTGGGTTTTGTTGTTGTTTGTTTGTTTTTCACAAATGTCCTATTTCTGTTCCAGGATCGCATCCAGGAGACCACATTTGGGGGCATTTGTGGTGTCTCCTTAATCTCCTTCAGTTTGTGACTGTTTCTAAGTTTTTCCTTGTTTTTCACAATCCTGGCAGTTTTTAAAGTACTAGGCAGGTATTTTGTAAAATGTCCCTCAATTTGGGTTTGTCTGATATTTTTCTCATTATTTGACTGGGATGATGAGTTTTGGGAGGAAGACCACAGAGGTAAAGTGCCTTCTTCATTGAATGGGGTCAGGTATACATGATGTCCACATGATATCACTGGGTTGTTAACTTCACCTGCCCAAGGCAGTGTTTGCTACACTTCTCCACTATACTCTCTATTTTCTTATTGCCTTACAAATGACTCACAAGATGTCCGGCTGGTGTGGCTCAGTGGCTGAGCATCGACCCATGCACGAAGAGGTCGCCAGTTCGATTCCCAGTCAGGACACATGCCCAGGTTGTGGGCCTGATCCCCAGTGGGGGGCATGCAGGAGGCGGCCAATCTATGTTCTCTCTCATCGATGGTTCTCTCTCTCTCCCCCTTAAATCAACAAAAAGAAAAAATATTTTAAAAAATCAACAAATAGCTCACAAGGTCCTGCCCACACTCACGGGTAGTGAAGGGATTAAGCTCGACCTTCTGGAAGGAGAGAGTCTTTGTATCATTTTAAATTCTTCTAGAAGGAAGAATTTTCTTCTTCGCCATTTATTTATTTGTTTGTTCAATAATTTATTAATATCAATACAGACTAATATTATTTTGCACTGTGGTTATCCAATACTATGTTATTTATTCTGTTTCTCAGACTGTTCAAGCTTTTAGGCTGATTTCTATGTCCTTATGACATTGCCCCCATTTTTTTTTTTTTTAGCAACTCTTTAGTTACTAACACTTCAATATGTTCCAGGTTAATCTTGTATTTTCCCTGCCCCAGCCCTAAAATCAGCCATTTCTCTAGTAGCCTTGGTTTCATTTATTGAAGAGTGATATTTAGAAACCAAGATTTAGGCACTAGGTGTGCTCATTGCTGCTGGGCTGGAGGAGTAGCTCTGGGACCTCTCAGTGAGGAGAGCTAAGAAATGTATGGATGTACAGTATTCCTTTATAATGATTTCTCTGTCTCGACATAGCTTAGATAGATAGATAGATCTAGATATATTTTTAAAACCTGAGTTTGTCCTGAGGTCTCTAATTCAGCCTCACAGTGTTCAGTGTTCATTCTAGCCCTCTGGGAAGAACCTTTATAAAAGAACAATAACCCTTTACAGTAATGCCAGATCAAACTTGACTTCTATAGCGTAACCAGAATTTAAAAGAAACATCAGATTACAGCACGGAGCATGTTCCCTTCTGTAGTTCTCCTCGTAGCTCTCTCTCATCCTAAGAAGCTTGCATGCCAGCCCCAGTGTGCGGAGCACACGGAGATTCCTGTTCCCAAACAGGACGTCTGCGCCCACCTCGGCCTCCACTCAGCGTCACCCAGAGGGCAGCCTGCTTTTACACTACCTCCCAAAGGCTGGCCGACGGCAAGGGTGGGGCAGAGGTGATCAGAGCTAGTTTTCATGTCAAAACTAAAAACAAATAAACAACAAAAATACCCATTTTAATTCGAAATAAAAATAATCCTTGTGTGTGTGCATGTGTAGCTCTTTATAGTTCGACAAGAGCTTTCAAATCTATCACCTCGTTTCAGCCTCCTGACTGTCCTGTGAGAAAAGCGGAGAAAAGGTTACAGACGAGGAAACTGAAGAGAGGACCTGGTTTTTCCAGCTCATGTGGCCTCCAAGTGGACTTGCCTGTCTTTTTAACACTCCAGGTGACCCTGATTAAGAGAGACAGCCAATGAGTTCCCAAGATGCTCACCAAGGCGTCATCTTGGCCATTTAGATGTTCTAGAAATTTCTTCCTAGCATGGGTATTGTTGCTTGACTTCAATACCTTAAAAGACTGGGTGTGTTGGAAACTGAACCTGCAACAGAGGGTCTAGGACATCAGGTCTGTCCCATAAATCAGTGCACATACTTTCCCGGGGGTGCCTGGGAGATCACACACGTGGGAAAATTTTACCTCCTGGAGGAGGACGTGGATTTGTGAGATCAGAAAGTCTACCCCTGCCCTGGCCGGTTTGGCTCAGCGGTTGGAGTGTCGGCCTGCGGTACAGAGAGACCCAGGTTCGGTTCCGGCTAAGGGCACGTACCTCGGTTGCAGTTTGTCCCCGGCCCTGGTTGGTCGTGGGTGGCAGCCACTCGATGTGTCTCTTCACATCGATGTTTCTCTCTCTCTCTCTTCCTCTCTCTCCCTCCCGCTCTATCTGAACAAAAAATGGAAAAATGTCCTCGGGTGAGGATAAAAAAAAAAAAAAGTCTACCCCTGAGGGAGAGGGCGGCTAGGCAGACCATCCCGGCGGGTTTGCTGGGCATGGGGGTGGGGCACTGCAAGGCTGCTCCCTAAGGCCCTTGGGGTGGCCCGAGGCCCAGCCTGGCAGCTTGGTTCCTTTAGCCCGTTGTGCCAGCACCAATGTCACCATTCTTTATGTAGTCTGCCATGGGACTGTTTGGAAATCAGTGCCCCAAGGATCCGGTTCTCGGTAGAGAATGGGAGTCTCCTTGAGTCCTTCCCTAAACCACCTCGGTGCTGTCACCGAGCTTCCAATCACCATCAGTAACATGATTGTCACTTCGAGATCGCAAGGTGGTGGCATGAGGAGTCCCCTCAGTCCTACTGCATTCTCCAAGACACTAAGACCAAGTGCCCAGCTAGCTCCAGCCTTCCTGGGATTCATTCAGCCACGGGAAACCCAGTGAGGCTCTGCCCACACTCACGTGGGTGCCAGGCACCGCAGAAGCTCCGCCCCAGTGCCAAGGCCCCTGAGCCACAGAAAGGCCGAGCAAGAAAGCAGGGAAAAGGGGAGCAGCTCTCCCAGCTTCGTGGGCAGAGACCATAAAGAATCAGTCCGGTGGGATTCGCTCAAGAGGGTGGGCACACAGTACAGGAGGAGCTTTCTCTTAGCACCAGGCCTGCGTCTTGAGCCCTGCTGTTTAGCAGGAAAAGGACAAGGCCTTGGATCTCAGGTTGCAGCCCGCGACTGAGAACCTGGCTCTCAGACAATACCCAGGAGCAGAACGGCCAAGGGGCTCTTGGAAGGCCTGACGACAGCTCCCTCCTGGTCTCTCCTGCTGCAGTACGTCTGTCTCTGCTCACATCTGCTAAAGTCTCTTAAAAGTCACCCTGGGTCAGACACATGTACCCAGACCTAGCCAAGTTCTATTTTAATCAGTTACCAGCGAGTCAGACCCAGCTTCCTGCTCAGAGGGAGCTCTAGAAGACGGGCTAAGTCCATCGGAGCCGGGAGGCTGTCACACACCCTTCCGTCCCCAGCCCTGGGGATCTGGAGTTAAATGAAATGTGCTGCTTTGGTTCCTCAGGACACAGCCACTTTAGAGTCCTCTTTCCCCGTTCTTGGCCGGCCAGCAGGGTCACCTGCATGGCCCCAATGCTGGGAATCTCCTCCCTGTTCCTTGCTCATATAGAGGCTGTGTCCATGATGCTGGGCCAGAGAAGACACCAAGCTGTCCCCTTGGAGTCAAGACATCTCCAGGGCTTAAGGGCCAGTGGTGACAGCCACTGTGTAGACAGCCTCCAGTAAGACATTTGAAGGGGGCAGAGCTCCAGATTCCACCTCTCACTTGTGGTGACAACTTCCACTCCCTCTGGAAGCTGTCGCGTTGGGGCTGAAGCTGGAGATGGGCAAGGACGATGAGAGACGGGATTGACTTTGAAGGCTCTTGTTTAAAAAACATGCCCCATGAGATGGAGTTGAGACCCCCCGCCCCCCGCCCCCCCCCCACCCTGCATGGTGATCAGTGCCAGAGAAGAGTCAAGGGTGAGGTTTCAAATGTCTCGTGTTCTTGTCCAAGTGTGGAAGCATCTTCTCTGTGAGCCCTGAGGGAGGCCTTCAGCACACAGGCTCATGAAGAACCCTAGAGCCAAACAGAGACCAGACCCTGGCCACAACCACTGTCCCCCTAGCCAGGGAACGGCTGCTTTTCTCTTGAGACACCCATGGCCCTCCTCCTAAACCTGCCCCAGGGCCTTACCCGAGACCATCTCGCCACCGTAGCCCTGCTTGACCAGGGAGAAGACCAGCTTCTGCTGGTGGGCACAGTCGATGCAGGCTTGCACGGCCTGCTGCAGGACGGCCGACGGCCTCTCGGGCCCGAAGTGCTCGGGCAGCGCCTGCAGCTTCCGCCGCTCCAGGTAGGGCCCTGCGTTGGCGTGCTTGTTGATGTAGAGGCAGACTGTGGAAACAGAGACCCACAGAGCCCTCAGCACCCACACACAACAGCAGGCAGCTGCTCCCATGTGGCCCCGGCCCTGGCCCTGGAAAGCTGAAAAGGGGCAAAAGTGGGACTGATTCTTCCTACTTAATAAGTAAAAGAGGCAAAGAAGCCAATCACCCCGATTGCCAGGGCTTGTTCCCAAGAGGGCCTCCTGGGTGGGGACAGATGGACTGGTGGGTCCGCTGTGCCGTATGCAAATCTGAACTGTGGACAGATCTGGAGGCCCACGTGGACCGTGTGTGCAAACGCATTTCCATGCTGGGCATGTACACGTGCAAAAACTCCCCCTCCTTCTCCAAGGGAGCTGCCAAGCTACATATAATGTTTGCCACTTTTTTGTTAACTTTTGATGAATAAAAACATCAAGATGATGTTGATTGCTCCAAAATGTATGTATTCAACTTCTGAAGAGAGTGCTATTTACAATTTTACAGAAAATAAACACTCAGTCGCCTATTGGGTGAGCCCAATCAATGCTTTTCCACGCTTCTGAAGTAATGTATCTCCTCAGTAAAAATATTTTGAGCACATACCCTAAACTGTGTTTGTTTATTTATAGGTTATATACATTCTTGTCTGTATTAATGTATCGTGTACATTTAAAAACATAACCGAGAGAAAGGCATTTTTAAAGGGTGAGATAAAATATATATTAATAGTAGGTATTGTATTTCCTTCTACACATTGACTCTCCTCTTCTGCCCCTCCCTCCCCCCCAGCAGGAGCATCTTGCCTTGGAGGCCACTAAAGCAAAGGATGTTTAAGAGGGACTGTAAGAGGAGACCAATAGCATTATGAAACAGGAATAACAAAGGTGAAGAAAATTACTTTTTATTGACCACCTATTATATTCCTGGCACTTTATATTTTTTATCTTGTTTCATTCTTAAGACAAACCTGGGAATTAGGCATTATTCCTGCTTTACTAATGAAGAAAATGAGGCGTCGTGTGTTACATGGATGCTCAGAAACTCCGTAATTAGTGGGGCACCGGGGATTTGGACACAAGCCTTTCTGAGGTCAAGGCCTATGCTCCTTCCCAGGCTGGCTTCTCTTCCACTCATCCCGGGTGATGAAGGAGATACAATTAATAAGAGTCCTTCATGCCAGACACTGTGCTAGGTCTTATGGAGAAAATGGGGAAACAAACCAACGAGGCCCCCGGCTTCACAGAGCTTAGGGCCCCGCAGGGGAGGCAGACCTGCCCAGAGAGTGACAGGGACTGATGGGGACCGTGGCTTGAGAAACACGGACTGGAGCCCGGGGGACCCTGAGAGAGGCCTTCAGCCCACAGGCTCAGGAAGAGCCCGAGAGCCCAACCGATGGGGATAGACCCTGGCCACAGCCGCTGTCCCCAGGCCCGGGAATGGCTGCTTTCCTCCTCAGAGAGGCTCCCTGAGGACCCTGGCAAGAAGCCGGAGAAGGATCAGGTATGTCTGAGCTGAGATATGAGGGAGGAATAGGGTGGCCAGAGGGAAGGCATTTCGGCTGGAGGGAAGAGACTATGCTAACATCCTGTGTGGGCCCTGGGGACCAGGAGAGCATGGCTGGGTCACAGGGGAGAAACATATGGGGCCTTGCTGGCCATTTTAACAAGCTTTGTTTTTACCTAAGAGCAATGGGAGGAGAATGAAGGAATGTAGGTGGGGCAGGAAGGACAGTGGTTTTGTGATGAGGGGGGACCGGTGTGTGTGTGTGTGTGTGTGTGTGTGTGTGTGTGTGCGCGCCAAAATCTGATTGCTGTTATTCTTACAATGGAACTGTGGGTTGGTGGATGTCCTGTGAGACTCTGGGCTGCATGCTACCCTGATGGGATTGGAGGGCGCCAGCTGGAATTAAGGGAGATCAGGAGCCTTAGCAGATCTGGAAGTACAAACACAGGTGGAAACTCTTCGAGGTGAGCGGGCTCACTTTTAGCTCTGGGAAGCAAAAACTGGACCACCAGCTACTCTTCCTAGTTCCACCCCACGGCAAGCAGCTGAACCCAAGATGCACTGAGCATCCAGCTGCAAACAATCCAAGCTGTGAGCCGCTGAAACTTAGGTTCTCAGAGAGCCTGGTCATCCCATCTGCCATTGGCTAACATGCTGAACCCTCGACGTGAGCCCTCTCGGTGGCAGCTCTCTGGTTCGCGTCACTGTAGATGAAGGCCAGGCCATCACACCCTCGGCGTTCATGCCCCTGACCTACCTGTGAGAGCCTGTGGGACTGCCAAGCTGGGGACCGTGGCTGCGTCTTGCGGGATGGAGCTGAGGTCGGGCTCCGGCGTACTCCGCGGAGGGGAGAGGGCCAAAGGAGTCATGAGAACCCGAGACTTGAGCTGCAGGAGAGAGCCCGTTTGGTCAATGAAAATCTAGAATGTTCTCTACACCCAACTGGAGTATTTCCTGGATGACAGTTAACCATGGCCACTCTATCACGCTTCCACATCTTTCAACTGTGCAGCTCTGGGAGCTGAACTTCGGATTAAGTCCATGTTCAAGATTCATGTTTGGGGTCACACTCAGAGATCAGCTTCGCACCCCACCCTTACAGTGGAGCCACCCCAGAAATGGCTGTGTCAGCCAGTGAGAGCATGTACAGGATGAATAGTTGAAGCCTGTAAGCCCTCCGAGTGCAGGATGCACGGTGCGGGACAGTCCCCACATGAGCCCCTGTGTCCTGGAATCCTGTAGACAGGGTTTTTCCCGTAGCCACCCGGAGACCGGCTCTGCAGCTCATCTCGCTCTGCTGAGCTGTCTGCTCAGCGGTCACTGAGTGCTTCTGGAGAAGACCACGCAGCTCTTCTCCAAGGGCTAATACTGCTCGGTGTTTGTTTCTCGCAGCAGAGACTGTCGAAGGCAGCCTGAGTGTGGGCAGGTGCATTCTCTGCTAGCGAGAAGCAGCTACCTTGAAGGTCTCACTTGAAATCACGAATGGGGAGCTGAAATTCGCTGTTACGGATTAAGGAGGTGACTGGTTGATGATGTCAATACCAGCAAGTCACCCTCATACCATGGTTTGACAGACAAGTTTCTAATCTTAGTTCTTTACCCCAAAATAGTAAGTCAATCACTTCACCTCTTCACTACTCACCTGAGCCTGCACCCTACTACGAACTAATTAAGTCAATCTCTGGAAGCGGGACCCAGGCACCAGAGTTTTTAAAGCTGCTCAGATTATTTCTATACACAGTTAAGGTTGAGGAAGACGGCTCAACACGAGTGCTCTCCAACTTAAGGTGCAATCACTCACCTGGGAGTCTAATTAAAATGCAGATTCTGACCCAGGGGGTCAGGCCTGAGGTTCTGCATTGCTAACAAGCTCCCAGGTAGTATTGATACTGCTAGTCCACGGACCACACTTTGAGTCACAAGGGTGCACATTGTGTTGTTAGTTCTCATCCATATCCTAACTTGCTTCCTGGATTTTAAGGATTTAATAATAATAACAGTCATGGAGACATAGTATTCCTACTTGTAGTTCTGCAACCATTCTACATTCATTCAACAAGTATGTATTGAGTGCCTGTTGCAAGCTGAACACTCTTTTAGTTTCTGGGCATATGACAGGGAACAAAGCAGATGAAAAATCTTTGCCTTCATGGAACTGACATTCTATGTAGGGGGAGAGAGGCCATACACAAAATAAATAAGTGATGTGTACATTAGAGGGTGGTAAGTGCTGAGGATGAGCATAAAGAGGGAAGGGGCACAGGATGTACAATTGAGGAGTCATACTTTTGGTCGAAATTCTAAAATAGCGTAGTTAAGGCAATTCCTGGGTGACCCTGCACAAAAATTTGAAGGAGAGGAGGGAGCAAGTAGCACCGGTGTCTATGGGGAGAACATTCCAGTGAATGAGAATCTGAAGTGCAAAGGTCCTGAGGCAGGAGCTTGCATGGAGTGTTTGTGCAGCTGCAAGGAGGTCAGAGTGAGATTGAAGAGATAATAAAGCCACAGGGCTTTGCAGGGCACTGTTAAGTTTTTTTACTTTTACTCTTAGCTGTTTTGAGTAGAGAAACTACAGGATCTAAAGTGACACTTGAACAATCTTTCTGACGATTGTGCTGAGAAGAGATGAAAGGGGCAAAGGTGAGAGGATCACTAATCTAGAGTGATGACTAGAGACAATAGTAGGATCAGGATGATGCCGTGGAGGTGAAGAGAAGCAGACAGATTCTGCATAGGTTTTAAAGGTGGAACCAGCAGCACTTACCAACACACTAGATGGTGTGTGTGAGAAAGGAGTCAAAGACGTTCTGGCTGGTTTTGCTCAGTGGTTAGAGCGTTGGCCCATGAACCAGAGAGTCCTGGGTTCAGTTCCCGCTAAGGGCATTACCTCGATTGCAGTTTGCCCCCGCCCAGTTGGGGTCGTGTGGGTGGCAACCAGTGGATGTGTCTCACATCGATGTTTCTCTATTACCCTCTGCCCATCATTTCTTTCAGGTGAAGCAACTAAAGGGACTAGAATAATTCAATCAGTTGCAGGGAAAACTGTCTGTATTCATTCAACCTGTAACACAACTGTTGGGACGTTTGAACAAATAAAAAAATCTCATGTAACTGTGGATGGTATATGACTTAAAAAATCCTTTTAGTAAGAGAATAAATCATCAGTAGGAATACCCTTTGACTTAGCATTCTGAAATTTCTACCTTATTGCTTAATATAAAGAATCAAACATAACCTAGCCTAGAAAAGGGAGTCACCCATGATCTTAGAAAGCTCCTAAAACAGGTATGTGGCCACTGCTGGGAACGGGCTTTGCTGTGATTTGGGGACCGGTCTGTCCGTGCCTCTCCCACGCATGGAATGAGGAGCTCCCTGGTGCCCCACCCATCCACGCTACTCTCTGTTGAGGCATGTGTCTTTGTCATTGCTTGGTTTTTAAAAACAAAATGGTTCATTTCTTTTTAAATGCATAAAATAAAAAAGAATGCTCCTATGTTGGTTTCTGATACTATTCTTCAACAAAAAGAACCAGAGCTTTTTGGAGAAATGGCTGATTCCAGGACTGGGGCAGGGAGTATATAAGATAAGCCTGGAGTACCTTGTTGCAACAAAAAGTAAGATAATGCTAAACAAAGACACACACAGTGATGGGGGTAGGTCATAGGGACACAGGCATCTACTGACAGAGCTTTCAATGGCCAACGCTAGAGCAATATGAGCAATAAAAAAAGAATGTAGTAATGGACTATAATTTAGAGTACAATAAATATCCATGACTCCATATTGACATAAATGAATGACTGACCAAGTAAATATATTGTCCAGAACAGAAAATCTACTATGCATAAAAATTCCAAATAATTTAATTGCAGAGCACCACTCCCCACACCTTAAGTGTGGGTTGCACATAGTAACTTCCTTCCGATGAGGACAGTATGAAAATGGGGGGTGGGGAGTGAGAGTAACTTTATAGTAGAGAAACTTGTCAAACATCACCTTAGCCAGGTGATCAAGGTCACCATCCACAGTGATCAGCCATCAGCAGTACGTATCCTTGAAATAACATGACGGGAATGACAACTTATCTGTGGGATCTTCTTCCCCCAAACCCATAACCCCAGTCTAATCATGAGAAAAACATCAACCAACCCAACTTGTAGAAAATTTTACAAAAGACTTGACCAATACTCCTCAAAGCTGCCAACATCATCAAAACCAAGGAAAGTGTAAGAAACTTTCATAGCCCAGGGAGCCTAAGAAGACACAGTGACTAGATGTGACGTGGTATCCTGGATGGATCCTAGAATGGGATAGGAAAGAATGAAAGCATCTGAACAAAATATGGACATTATTACTAATAATGTATTATTAATGGCTCGGTAGTGACAAATGTACCGCAGTAACTATGATGGTAAGTAGGAGCTATTAGGTGTGGGTATATGAGAACTCTCTATTGTTGCAACTGTTCTCTAAATCTAAAAGCATTACCAAATATAGTTTATTTTTGAAATATTAAAAACAGGATCTGGCAGAATAAACTGGGCAAAATGGGGAGGAAGTAGGCAGAAGAGGCGTCTTTCTCAGCAGCATAAAATGGAAGAAGGTTTGCTGCCCAGGACGCCTTGCTCTGACATATAAGAATTGATCCTTGGCCTGCAAAACCAATACCCTGTTGGGACCTTCACCTGCAATTCAATAACCTCAAATATGCCTGCGGGCCCTGGCAGACTGGTTGGAGTGTCGCCCCTATACACTAAGGTTGTGGGTTCGATCCCTGGTCAGGGCACATACAAGAAGCAACCAATGAAGGCATAAATAAGTGGAACAACAAATCAATGTTTTTCTCTCTCTCTCTAAAAAAATCAATTAAAAAAAACACACCAAGTTTGCAACTCCTCCTCCACAGTGTGGTCGCCAGGGGCGGCAGGGGCTGTGCTTCTGTGGAAGTGTCAGAGGGAACACTGATGCAGAGGGGAAGAAGCAGAGGAGTGGAGTCTCCACCAAGGGGGCTGGGGACCTGGGGTCAGCTCATCTTGCTTTTCCATTTACAGATCCAAAATAAGGGCCTGGAGAGTTTCTTTCTCCAGTTGTCTTCAAGGAGAAGACCTTCTCTAAGACATTTTCTAGAGAATCACTGGAAAGAGTTGGGAGGGGATCTGTTTGCAAACTAAGATGTGTGGCCAGGGGACACTAAAGGAGAGGGGGTCAGTTGATGTAACATTCAAGTATTTTTCTAGAAATATGCAAGTGTGGCCAGGACAGAAGTACTAACCAAACAGTAACTGAGAGGTTGACAAAAGGTTGGAAATCAGAGGATACTGTGCTGGGAGGGGCATGAAGACACACAGAGGCTGCCTGTGCATCAGCACAGGACGAGCCGACAAAGCAAAATGTAAAGAGTTTGAGGTGGCAGCGGACACTGCTTCTGGACCTGGGTTGAAGTCCAGCTCGGCACCCACTAAGCCTGTCCATAGTCTTGTTACTTCAGCTACTGGAGCTTGTCTTACCTCATCTGTAAGGTAAGGATAATAATAGCCCCTCACAGGGAAGTGGCAAGAATTAAAGGTAAACATTAAGCATATAGATAAGGCAAAATGAGAACTCAATAAATGTTTATTATCATGATTGCCATTAGTATTCTTGTTATGAAAAATTTCAGAAATGCAAATGAGTTCCAAGTTTCTTACTGATGCAGCCATGTAGGAGGGGAAAATTGCTCATCTCTCCTAGGACCTGTCTGCATTTTCTACCCTTGTCACCTGGGATCATATCTTAACAAACCTCTGCAAACCCACCCTCCTCCCTCACACCTTGCAGATGATCCTCTCTGAGAAATGCTCCTGACACATCTTGCAAAGATCCCTAAGTATTGCTAAAGCAGCAGCTG